TCAGGGGCCCGTTGCACAAAGCGATCGTAGCGCTATGACTGTCGAAGTCTACGTTAAAGTATGGGAGTATCAACTTAGCGCTATGATCGCTTTGTGAAATGGGGCCCTGATGTAACGGAAAGGATTTCTTGGTTTCCACTGGCAAAGACAACAAAACAAATAACAAACACATGATGAAATCATATGTGCATTTATGTCATCTAGTTTCTTGTTTACAATTTCGACATGACCGACTCTCTCTGACAATACATACACACACACATGATGAGCTACCGTCCACATTTATGTACATATATACATGATACACAGTGTATACCAAGGCTATTTGTTCTTCAGCCATTGTTCTTCTTGTTGCTTTTCTATCTTCTCTATTGTCCTTTCAATTATTGCTTTCTGAAACAGACATTTGCAAATACAAAGGAATCTGTTAAAACTAGATCTCCAAATCCTAACCAAAACTGGTCCAAATATACTGTCCCCATCTACTTTTTCAACTCATCAATTAACATGTGACTCATCGAGAAAACCTTTATCCCTGGCACAAGAACCTCACAAATCCAGACCTAAATTCTTCACTCTCAAAGCAGTATGGATTCCATACAGTAACAAACATACAGTATTCCCAGAAATTATTGAGAAAGTTGTTTCGGGGCAAATATCTAATACAGGTATTTAAACTATAGAAGGTTTACTTAAATAAATATGTTGAGATATGATTTTCCTACAGTCTAAGTGTCTTTTCAGTACTTTGTGAGACCTCCTTGCCCTGCAATACATGACTGAATGCACCTTGGTACACTATCGATCAAAGTGTGCAGGAAATCGTGTGACACCATATCTCAATATTCAACTACTTCTTTCTTCATATCCTCAAGATTCCTAAGTCCTTTTTAATTTATTCTGTCCTTCATTAGTCCCACACATTCTCAATAGGGTAAAGATCTGACCAAGTGGCCGGCGATCCGTAGTACTGAACTTCCTTGGCCTCCCTGACCCTGTCTTATGCTCAATCCCCACTCCTGACAGAATATTCTTCAAAGTTCTGTATACTGTAGACAGAGGAATGTCATGTCTACCAGCTAACTCTTTTGCATTAGTCACACCCCTTTCAAACATCTAGAACCAGCGTTCTTTTCTCTTCTGCTGTCAAATCTGCTATGTCAACAAAGGAAGCCATCTACTACACCAGGGGAGATAACTCTTGGTGTAGTAAGGTTCATCCTTAAGCCTACAAGAGTTGCCTCCCATATTGAGTACCTTACTACATAATGTAACACCTATTTTAAAATTCTATTATCAGTATTAGGAAACAAAGATTTTCTCAATAATTTCTGGGAAAACTGTATAGTGTCTGGTTCTACCAACTGAAAGCTACCATCTGCATCAACCAAATCAGTGAGCCTGCCCACCTGATCCTGTTAATCACCTTCTATGAAATGAGCATGGGTTGCTGAAGACATATTCTAACCCGAGTCTTTATGGGTCTGATATAATACTGAAGTAAACGTGTACAGATACATCTTACTTATGGAAATTGAGTTAGTTTTTATTGAAATCTTATGCCTTCAATTAGCTATGTAAACCAACATATTTCCTGTTAAGGCACAGAGGGCTGATTAACACTGATGCCTCTGAACCGCCTCGAATACAGAACTTCACAGAGAAGAGTATCAGTCATCATGCTTACTGCATTCTTGTCTTGTGGTGGGAAGAGCTGTTTCTGAAATGATAATTTTCCGTTTAATAATATTGAAGATGGACAATCTGCAACAACAAACACATGAATCTGAATTGCCTAGAGAACATTCTCTTTAACAGTGAGTATTGAATGATTATGGTTTAATGCTGCTTTTAGCAATATTCCAGCAATATCATGGAGTTCTCTTCAACAAACCTAAGAAATACAATTTCTTCATGCACTTGCAATCTTCAATCATGAAGTGACCTTTAGTCTATGGTGCCAAGTATCCCTCACTTATCAAAAGTCGCACTTCCTTTTCTTTCAATGAGAAATTGGTTTGCCTGAGTTCATATTACAGTGAGATCACATAAAACTGCACACTACAAATCTTTTATCAGACAAATGATAATTCATAAAATACACAACTGATTCAATGCATGAAAGAAGACAATCAGTCACTTCATGATGAACTATCCTTACCTCACAGGGTATGTACACTTCTTATTCTATAGGCAGATAATAAACAAGTTATCACATTTGTGTGTGTATCCAACAGAATTTATAATCATGATAATACACAATTCATTTCTCTCTTGCCCCAACTTGCAAAATACATTATTTCTGACAGAAACAGAACCAGTATGATCCATATAATGTCACTAATTACACCACAAAGTTACATTGCTAAAAACAAACTGTGATGGCAAGGCAAAATTTGATATCAAGTCAACTTGGTTGCTGCATGGCCAACACATAGAATATTACCCTCTTGCTCATCATCCAGCCCTCGAAGAATTCTGGTTGGTTGAAGTAGTAGAACAGTGACACGGGAAAGCTCATGTACACAGCCATCTGCAAATAATGCATCACATTGAAAGAATCTTTCTCTCTAATAACAGTGTAGCTAAGTCTTCTTTCACTATGAATCCGGGGTTCAAGCCTGTAATCATCAGAAGCAAATCTTAGTCTCGGGGGTAAGTGCAGTTTACTTATGGTGCTCTGTGTTTGATAAATTACTCTTCATTTTCATATTGATATAATGACGTGGGCAGCCACAACCCCAGGGTTGATATAATGACGTGGGTAGCTACAACCCCGGGGTTGATATAATGACGTGGGTAGCTACAACCCCTATTTGGAGTAATAATTTTAAAAAATGTCAAATTGACATTCACTTCATAAACAAAGTCACTAAAAGTGATGTATTCAGACCTATTTGTGTGATTTTAAGTGGTCAAATGTGCATGCTAAAGAAAATATATACATAAATAAAATTGGAAATTTATCAATCATGTCCTAGAGCGTGACATGAGTAATGAAAGCGTGAGTCCCAAGCCAAGAGCACGTATGGCGTCAGGTTCAGACAATCCAGTGTCTGAAATCATGAGCATCTATCAACGCAGTTGGAATACGACATGCATTACTATCAGCGACCCTGACCACAGGATACCGTTTTAGCAGTTTTACGACAAGTATGGGTTGCTGAAGACCAATTCTAACAGAGAGCCCCGATGGGGTCCTACTGAGAATACTGTTAAGATATGACTGATGACTGCAGCCTGGTACAGTGTGGCCGTGCGACACCATCGCGGCTCGCGCCTAACCTTGACTTCACGGTTCTGGTTGAGGTAGCCTGGTCTTGTGTATTACGCTTTAGTCATGATCACCTACATGGATACAATAAAAATAATAATAAACGCACACATGGCAACAAAAACCCATTTACCTTGAATACTTCGAGTTTCCAGCCACCCATTGCAGAATCAGATTCAGAATCGAAACTCAAGCACCTTGCCAGAGAAGAATACGGAAGGGAGATCACTCTATTGTACTAAAACTGTTTACGTAATGAGCACAGGATCGTCGGTAACACACCCGCCCAGTTTCCGTGATATTTTGACCATGTTACGATCAATATTACGATCTTACGATAGGTGGATCCAGAAGGGTGTGAGCAGAGGTGCGCCCCCCCCTCTCCCCACACCTTGTCCTCTGAAAGTTTATTAAACGACCGTTGAAACTCTCGTGAAAATGGACCGCCTCTGTGGTGTAGTGGTTGGAGCGTCCGCCCGGAGAGTGAAAGGTCGCGAGTTCGATCCCCGACCGCGTCATACCAAAAGACGTTAAAATATGGTACTTGTTGGTCCCTGCCTGGCGCTCGGCATTAATGGGTACAACGAGGACTGGTCGGCTCGGAATCAGTATAGTATAATGTGTCTGAGTGGGATATTCATGCTTCACTGCGGCAAACCAGCTTGAGTCTGGGCTAGTACAAGCAACCGCACATACACATGCACACGCATGCACGTCGTCATATGAGCGAAATATTCTCCAGCACGACGTTAAACCCAATTTCACCTCACCTCGTGAAAATGAAGTGTTTCCTTCTTTCTCCCCCTCCCCAACGGCCCCATCTCGAGAGTGTAATCACCCCACCCCCTGTCATTGTCATTATTCTAAATTGCAAATGGCTCTGTGGTAATTAACTGGCTAGCCAAACAATGTGTTTGAGTTCATATTTCAATGTGTAAATTCGCAAATTACTGACGCGCAAATCAAGAACAAGTTTCTAACAGCTCAGCTTAAATCAGTTATATTTAGAAGTAATCAGAATTGTACAGATAGCGTTTCGTTCACAGCCATTTCCGTTTGCATCCAAATATGACCAATGCTCGTGTCAGTGTGCTCATCCCAATCTATAATATCATTAAAGCTTATATGTTAAAGCAGAAGATAAAAATATAATAATTGTGAATCTATAGTGCGCCTTTTCCATGTAGCACAGACGCAAAGCCTGATTATTATTACCCCGGACAACCCAAGCTGCCACTGAGGCACTAGAAGGTTATAGTCACATGACTCCTCCCACCGGGTACCCATTTTCTGCTGGGTGAACAGAGACAAGTTTGAACAAAGTCACTTGCCTAAGATTAGACCACATGTTTCACATGTGCTTCGTTGTGGGGTAGGACTGAAGACCTCGAAACTCTCAGGAGACAAGTTGCCAAACACGGTCACCCATACAAGTATTCTCCGCGCCCAACGTCGCTTAACTTCAACTGATTTGTGACCTATGCTGTATGCACAGAGCCAGACACCACCACATGCATGCAGTACAGACAAACGACGAATAAATATTGTAACAAGGCTTAATTAATTGTAACATGTTTAATTTCAACAGTGTCTTTGTATAAACCTTTAACAATTTGGTAACCATAACAGTATCAGAATCTTTTGCATCAATCTTTAACAATTGACAACCAAAACAGTATCAGTAGCGAACACACAACTCGTATCAGTGATTTAACACGGTGTTAACTGTATCACACATAACACGCATATCAACGCCTGTCTTAGCGCATAAATTTCGGGATTTGTATCTGAATCACGTATCATACAGTATCTGAAGTTGGTATAGGAGAGTCTATGCAGGTATTAAGAAGACGATGGTGTATCAGTCATACATGTCCACCCTCCAAGTGCATACAACCATCTGTGAAGATGAGCGGCCAGATCGAAGTGTCCGGGATATCTGTCCGTGAGACAGCTTAACTTGTATCCTGGTTTCCATGTGTCACCGGGGACCATTAGTCCCGGAAGTTACTTCTGTCTTCAGCTCCCAGACTTCTCCTGGGCCTCCACCACCTCCCACCAGAGGGCGCCTGGCTTCAGGCAGTATTCTGGGTCATAACTCAAAACCTCGTCTTCCACACAGTACTCTGGTGCTATCACCACATCCTGACCGAAAGTTGGGTCTTCCGCCTCTCTCTTCTCCACGACCTCCCACCATGAGGTGTTAGGAGCCAGTGTGAAATCTTCGTGTGGTGCCAGGGAAACAATGTCGTCGGCATCTCCATTCTCGGCGGCATCAAGAGATCCACGAACGCTGTGGCGACCTCTGACGACAGACTGGCATCTCCGTACACATAACCTTACAGCCAAGAAGATGCCAACGATGACCACTGAAAAATCATAAACATGATTTAATATTTGTGAATACAATAACGGAATAATAACATTTTCAATACAGCATCACTTAACAGCTACAAATATTGAAGATAGAGTTCGGGGTACTTTTGTTAAATGAGGTTTGGCAGACATATTTATTCCAGTTGACGCGAATTAGGTAGCCACTAATACACGTGTTACAGAAATAGATACTTACCACCTCCAACAACAATTGTGCAGATCATAAGGACCATGTGACTTTGGCCGGTTATCATGTCTGAAAAAAGCATAAGCGTATTGATTACATAACGCCCTAAAATTGTTAGCACTAGTTATAGTAGACTGTTACTAAAAATATCTAAATACTGGGTGGCTTTTTTCTGTGGAACGGTTTTATATCATCCATATTTATTTCAAGCCTTTCCGTCAACACTAATTTCCTGAGGGGATATTAAAATTATCAAGTAACTTTACCTCTGACATAGTTCACTCGAGACTGAATCCTTATCTCCTTCCAAGGCAGCCTGAAAAAAATATATTACCATTTTCAAATACTCACACGCAACATGAGTCGAGTGTATTAACTAACACACGGTTAACTGATTTGAAGGGAAAACCGTTGTCTTCTGTTACGGCGGGCGAGTTTTTGTTTCTCTTTTATTTAATGATTTCGTCACAACTATAAACAAAATGTATATAAAAAATTGGTTACAGTTTGCTCAGGAAAATAGTTTATTAACATTGTATTTGTGAACAAGTACTGGCTACGTAATGTTGAAACACTCAAATCAGTTTGTTTCTATACTTATACAAAACCCATTCAATTATACAATCTTTTACAATCACATACTTACTAAATATCTTAGCACATAAATTGTTCCCTCTACTTTCGACTGTATATTTTTACAATATGAAGGTAGTCAAACACTTACCTCGGAGTAAGAGTTGGTATTGACGGCATATCGCGTAGATGTGTCGATAAAGCTGGCGCTAATCTCAAAGACGGCATCATGCTTGTGACGCAGTTCGTCATTGTCTGTGACGTCACACCCTTAGATACCACTGCTCAAGGGCAGGTAACTCCATGCTTTAGCGTGTTTTGTGTATAAGAACATGGCCTTCTGAGAATCGATGGCGTGATGATAGGTAAATGTCCAATTTCCTATGAATAGGTTTAAAGTTTTGACATATTTTGGAATTACTATTAACTTTGAATGGAAATACCTAATTGGGGAATAGCTCCTTGACACAGGACACGTTGGTAGATGTTCCAGAATGCACAAGTTCTCTGAAATGCTTATATTAGTGTTATTTGCATATATATATATACATATACAAATGTGATTCGGGTTAAATGAATACATTTTTAGCATATTCTCAACAAATGCGTTGCGAGTGTTTGCTGTTTCCCATACTGAAAATATAACAGTCAACATGTTTTATTGAATGCAAGAGCCGTGAACATGTACAGACTTTTATTTATCAATCAAAAAGGTTTTGAGTGATCACATAAGTTGTGTCCCTTCCTCTCTGCTCTCTAGCTTTCCTGTACTTTCTCTCTATTCCTTCCTAAGATGCATAATATTGAAGATACATGTATGTAAATATTAGGGAGCGGGTATTATAGGTTGGATAACCTGTCCCCAATCCCTTTAACATTTGTGAACAAAATATGTTTAAGTTAATGAGAGAGTCAATACACATTGTCGGGATTGCTGTTAATACGCCTTAATATAAAAGTATATTATAATCATATCTTAACAAAGCGCGACAACGACATTTCACCAATGTGTCGTATCGTCGCGCCTTTTTTAATTTAGTGGTGAATTTCAAAACTTTCATGATAAACTATTTTCGATGTTTGCACAGGGCAGAGATACCCAGGATTCAGTACACTTTAACCTTGCAAATTGTCGCTATGTTGCATTGTCGCCCTTTGGTGGAATAAAAAAATATTATTCAAAGCACGACAATGCGACAGCAACAATGCGACAAACAGCCAAAATGTCACGCTGCCACATTGTCGCACTGTGCATAATTTTGACACGTTTTGCTTGTTGTTTTTGAGTAAGGGCGAAAATGCGACAATGTCCCTTCTGGGATTCCATACAAGAGACTGTTAAGGATTCCATACCAGAGTCTGTTGAATATCAAATCAAATCAAATCAAATTAGACATTTGTATAGCGCTACATATCCAGAGTCATGTGCTCATGTGCGCTTAGTCGAATGCTCGTTTGAAGAGGATGGTTTTGAGACAAGATCGGAAACTGTTGATATTTTTCGATTTTCTGACATTTTCAGGTAATCCATTCAAGAGTACAGCACCCGCTCTGCTAAATGTTCTGTCCCCGTATGTTGTGGTTCGGACAGATGGAACGTCTAAGCTGTGCTTAGCTTGACTAGCTGATCTGAGTGACCTCCCAGGTTTGTGAATGGTGTCTAGTTCCTGGAGATAGGATGGAGCAAGACCATTAATGGACTTGTAAACAAACACAAGAAGTTTGAATACAACTCTGTCTTTTACAGGAAGCCAGTGTAAGTCCTTCAGGACTGGTGTTATGTGCACATACATGTGTGCGTGTTATGAGCCTGGCGGCTGTGTTTTGAACACGCTGTAACTTGTCCATGTACTTATGCTGTATTCCATAGAGTAGACTGTTGCAGTAGTCAAGACGTGATGTCACAAATGCATGGGTTATAGGGCATTTTACTGATGGTGTGTCCATGTACCTGCTAATCTGTCTGATGTTCCATAGGTGGAAATATGTAGATTTGCAGATGTTTCTGACTTGATTTTCCATGCTTAATGTTGAGTCAAAGATGAAACCTAGATTTCGAGCATGGCTTTCTGGTTGAACAAAAGTGTCTCCAATTTGAACTCCAGGGACCTTGAACTTTGATTTTGTTTGTTTGGAGCTGATGATGAGAATCTCAGTTTTGTCATCGTTCAATTTCAGAAAATTACTGTTCATCCAACATTTGATCTCAGCTATGCAATTTGTTATTGCCTGCAGTGTATTCTGTACAGAAGATGCAGTTTGTGGCTTGAATCCGAGATATAGCTGAGTGTCATCAGCATAGAGATGATAGCTGAGATTGTGGGCTCGGGCTATATCACCAACGGGTATGGTATATACAGTGAACAGGATTGGGCCTAGGACTGAGCCTTGTGGCACTCCAAACCTTAATTCTCTGCTCTCAGACCTTACCCCATCGATGATAACTGATTGCTTGCGTCCTGTGAGATACGTCTGAAACCGTGATAACGCATCGCCAGTGACTCCAAGACGTAACTGTAGAGTTTCCAAGAGAGTGGAATGGCCTATTGTGTCAAATGTTGCTGATAGATCCAAGAGGACAAGAATTGCCGCTCCCTAGGAATCAACAGCATGCAGAAGGTCATTCTGCACACGCAGCAAAGTTGTTTCTGTGCATACATGATATGTTTTATGGATAACAACTTCTTTTTATTCTTTACACAACGTTTCAGAGCTAATTCTTGCTCACTCATAAAGTGAATGCTGAGTCAGTGAGCAGAGTTAATATACATGTATATATACTATCCATCAAAAGTTTCGACTCACTTAAAGCACTCACTATATGGTATGTATATATATGTGGTTACGTCGGAGATAAATTTGTCTATGCACTAAATTGGTGGAACCAACTGCAAACCCTATGCAGATAAATTGCACGAGGATCATGTATCAAATTGCTGAAAAGCATGTGCAAATATCGTGCATGTGAACAGCTGCGTTTTGTTGTGAAATTTTGTTAAGAATTCACCAATTTTCACTGAGTTTCATTATTTATTGAACTCATGACAATAATCTTTTCAACGTTACGAATTTGTTTTACAATACATCAGTTCATGTGTAAACAGTACCCTTAAACTGTATGGAATATTTTTGCAAAATCTAGTTTAGATCAGTTAATTGAAGTAAGTGGCTATATTTACACTAGTGAGTCTAAACATTTGATGGGGAGTATAGATGGAAGGACAAAGCCAAGGAGATTAACGTTATAACGAAATAAGCCTTATAGCACAATGGAGTACACACTCCGAAGGTAGATGCCTTGGTCTCGGTTAATGGCTGGCTTATTCTGGAGGCCATGGGGCTATTGTAATGTCTTTTTTGTCTGTTCTGGTGACTGGTACGACCTTGGTATGTGATGCTGACGAGGATGGTTGATGGGACTAGTTTGGGCTTGGGAACGGGATCTTTTTGCTGGGTATCAAGAGATTTCCGTATGTTTTTCTCCACCAGATATTTTGGGTATCCCGATAAAGGTGTGCTTGAGATGATGAAGTTCTCCGCTGATACTGTCTGAAATGCAGATGGCCATGGCTCGTCCGTTGAGGGTGGCAATGATACCACCACCATGAGGATGGTGGTTTGTGAGGAAGTGAATGTACTGGTCCGTGTGGGTGGTTTGCGGTAGACGGCAGTGTGGATGTTGTCTTGACTGTTGTCGGGTTGTACATCGAGGAAGGTTAATTAGTGGTGGTGGTTTTCTGTTTCCATGGTGAATTGGATTCTATGGTGTTGTAAAGGCGGTCCAGTTGGGCTTCGGGGTTCTGGTCTTTTCTAGGACGGCGAAGGTGTGTCATCTACTTTTCTGTACCACCCTAGTGGTTGGAAGGAAGATGTTACAGCGGCTTCTTCAAAGCTGGCCATAAAGATTTATCTAATAAGTGAGGACAAGGGGTAACTCATAAAAACAAGTTGTTATCCTTAAAAAGTGTCATGTATTCATGTTCTAAATGCCTTTCATGAACTTCGAGAGACTGTTGTTTCCGATTCTGAAAATATCAGTCAAAATGTTGAATCAGAGAATCGGATTTGTTTCATTAAGCATTTTAGTGCTATTAGGACGTGTCAGCTTTATGATTGCAGATATCTGCAAAGAGGGATATGGTGTTGACAAAAGAAGAATATACACAGGACAAATCAGGTATTCGAATCAACAACACAGGTTTTTAGCGCTCTAGAAGCAAGTCTCTGAACACAGCATTATCGCAGCTTAGCCGATCTGAGTAACTTGAAGGTAAGTTACTCTTCTAATTCCGGAAAACTATGTCCGGAAAAAACATTCAATTCGTCCCCCAAGGCATCTGTCAGATTCTGCAACGTGGAAGGAACAACGAGTCTATCAGCAACACGCTCCTGGAGGACATCCCGAGTTTGCAAATGTGGTCAAGCCAGCCAATCTGTGGTCGAGCAATAAAGCCCATTACAACGACGTCATATAATCAATTATTGAATCTATTATTTTCTGGCGTTACCGTTTTATATGGTGATGTACAGTTTCATAAATGTGTTCAAACTCACTTTCTCTCGAAACCGTGACCCATCGGCATTCATTTTTTATGGTAAGCCACTCAGTTCGAACATTATCAGTTTGGGGAACATTAGATGGAGCATGAAATATTTCAGTTATCTTTGGGTTCTGCTTCGTTGAGTATATATACACGTGACCTACGATGATGCATAAACCACAACATTCAACTGTTTGTTATTCTGATTAGTAAGTATAGTATGCCAAGCTATAGCTGAATAAAATTCCTATCGGGATATCACTCATTGCGTGTAGAAGGGGGGAGGAGAGAGAGAGAGAGAGAGAGTAAATGTCCTGTTGATAAACAATAGTTCTCTTCTGGTAATTTGTTCCCTACACCTGTAACAGAACAAGGAACAAGGGCCAGATACAATGCCTCTCAAGTCTGTGAGTGAGTCACATTATAACGGCACTTCAGAAACATCAACGACCGTAAGGCCATGTATTACTGTTAGAGCGTCTGTCTATTATAGATCGCAAGCCATCAAAATGCTGGTAGAAATCTGCAACAGACTCACCAAGCGTTAGTGTCTGGATATTGATAAACAATCTGACAGTACATAATAACGTAACAAGACAGGATTTATTGCACAGTAAGTACATAACATGAAAGACATATTTTCAAATAAATGAGATAGCATACAAATATACTGAGTTCATAACACTTTGGGAACACAGCCCAATAGATCTGTGTTTAAAGTCTCCTTGGTATGAACATACCAAGACCTAGTTTTGCCACAGTTGTGTTCACAAAGGAACGGGTTTTCACAGCTTCGTCCAGACATCATGCCATTACATGTGGAGATGAACAATGAGCTCGACGTGTCCGGGATGTCAGCCCGTGAGACAGCTTAACTTGTATCCTGGTTTCCATGTGTCACCGGGGACCATTAGTCCCGGAAGTTACTTCTGTATTCAGCTCCCAGACTTCTCCTGGGCCTCCACTACCTCCCACCAGAGGGTGCCTGGCTTCAGGCAGTATTCAGGGTCATAACTCAAAACCTCGTCTTCTACCCAGTACTCTGGTGCTATCACCACATCCTGACCGAAAGTTGGGTCCTCCGCCTCTCTCTTCTCCACGACCTCCCACCATGAGGTGTTAGGAGCCAGAGTGAAATCTTCGTGTGGTGCCAGGGAAACAATGTCGTCGGCATTTCCATTCTCGGCGGCATCAAGAGATCCACGAACGCTGTGGCGACGTCTCACAACAGACTGGCATCTTCGTACACATAATCTTACAGCCAAGAACATGCCCACGATGACCACTGAAAAATTGTAAACATGATTCAATATTTGTGAAAAACAAAAACGGAATAATAACATTTGCAATACAGCACCATTTAATAGCTACAAATAAAACATCAGATAACCCTCTTGTACATATGTCGCAGAAATAGATGGAAAATATACTTACCACCTCCAACAACAATTGTGCAGATCATAAGGACCATGTGACTTTGGTCGGTTATCATATCTGAAAAAAGCATAAGTATATTTATTACATAACGCACTAAAATCGTTGGCATTAGTTTCAATAGACAGTAATTAAAACATTCCATATAATGGGTGTACTGTTTCTGTTTTATTTCATCCATATTTATTTCAGGGCTTTCCCCGTCAACACACATTTTCTTTGGGGATGATGACACTATCAAGCAAATTTACCTCTGACATAGTTCACTCGAGACTGAATCGCTATCTCCTTCCAAGGGAGCCTGGAAGAAAAATGTTACATTTTTGAAAGCACACTACGTGAGTCGAAAACGAGATGTAAATTTAGTATATCAAAACACGGTTAAGCTTCTGTTACTTCCAATTTGGAAGAGAAGTTATGGCGGGCGATGCTTTGGCTCTCTTTTCTTCAATGATTTCGTCCTAAGTTGAATCAAAAATAAATAATTGGTTATAGTTCGCTCAGGAAAATAGTTTATAAACATTGGATTTGTGAACACGTACTGGCTACGTAATGTTGAAACACTCAAATCAGTTTGTTTCTACGCCTATTCAAAACCCATTCAATCACACAATCAGTTACAATCACATACTTACTAAATATCATAGCACATAAATTGTTCCCTCTACTTTCGACTGTATATTTTTACAATATGAAGGTAGTCAAACACTTACCTCGGAGGAAGAGTTGGTATTGACGGCATATCGCGTAGATGTGTCGATAAAGCAGGTGCTAATCTCAAAGACGGCATCATGCATGTGGCGCAGTTCGTCACTGTCTGTGACGTCACACCCTTAGATACCACTGTTCAAGGACAGGTAACTCCGTGGTTTGACGTGTTTTGTGAAGAAGAACATGGGGATCGCTAGCATCGATGGCGTGATGATAGGTAAATGATTCTTCTTCCGATGAATAGGTTTAAGGTTTTGACATATTTTGGAATTACTATTAACTTTGAATGGAAATACCTAATTGAGGAAAATCTCCTATATAAACTAATGACACAAAACATGTGATTCGGGTTAAATGGATATAATCCTTGCTTTTTCCCATACTGAGTCAAAAAAGAAACTGCACATTCTTTCTTCAGGGCACTATAAAAGAACAAGAGATGGTAAGATGGTTAAATTGTTATTATTTCATTGCTGAGATCTGTGTGATGTACTCGATACACTGACAGTGCCATAATCAGTTCCATTAGGCTACACCGCCGTTCCAAAACATGGGTATACAGAATGTCAAGTCACAAGAATAAAAATGCGAAATTTCTCAGTTCAATATCGTGTATGGCCGCCCCGCACATTCACCACTGCCAAACACCGTCTCCTCATCGACTGCCTGATGCTTGTGAACACGTGGTTGGGGATTCTGCGCCATTGCTCTTGCAAGGCAGCGCCAAGTTCCTGCAAATTGTGAGGTTGGTTCCTAAGACCACGAAGCCTTCTCCCAAGTGCATTCCAAACGTGCTCTTTTGGATTAAGGTCAGGGGACCTCGATGGCCAGTCCATGACGTTGATTCCAGCGTTTTGAAGGAAATTTCGTGTCAACATCGCGGTATGCGGCCGAGCATTATCATGCTGGAACTGTAGACCTGGGCCATGAGCCGCCATGAAAGGAACGAGTTCAGGGGTGAGCACCTGGTCGCAGCAGCTGTGAGGTTTCCACGGATGACCAGAAGTCGGGAACGGTTGTTCCCTCAGAAAGCACCCCACACCATGCAACTTCTGCCCCCGAATCTGTCGACTTCCTGTACACAACATTGGGCATACCGTTCAGGACGTCGTCTCCAGACTATGCCTGCCGTCCGCGAATCTGAGGGGTAAACCTGGATTCATCGGTAAAGACGACTCGATTCCAGTCTCTCTGGGTCCATCGGAGGTGACGTTGGGCCCACAGCAGACGTTGACGTTGATGAAACGGCGTCAATATTGGCCCACGATATGGACGTCGAGAATGGAGATTGGCAGCCCGCAACCGATTTCGAATGGTCTGTGAGGACAGTCGACCTCTAAACATCTCAGCCCTGGTTCGTGTAGCCGGCAGAAATCTATCACGTAGGTGACGTAGGACGATTTGACGGTCTTCTGCTCGTGACGTCACACGTGGACGACCCGACCTTGTGCGATCAGAAGTGGTGCCAGTTTGTTGTAGACGACCTCGCAAGTCATACACAGTACGACGGCTGCATCCCATTGCTCTTGCGACGTCAATAACTGATCTTCCCGCTTGCAACATGCCAACGGCACGTTCACGTTGCACATTTGACAATCGTGGCATTTCAAGTACCGTTAGAACTGTGGTTTAAAAGTGTTTTTTCAATTCTTGAGGCCAATGCAAACACGTGCATATGAAGAAACTTCGATGTGAAGATCACGTGATCGACTGCATGTGCAAAACCTGATTTGGCACTAACGTCATGTGCACGATGAATGGATGGGTTTGAGTAGGTTTTGCTAACGTTTTTCTAGAGTCGAAAGATAGGGATCCCATTTCGGATACATATATATATCATCAGAGAAAAATTATTCATTATTTTTCAAATTACATTTTGTGAAGTTTCTTTTTTGACTCAGTATATTACAGTCAAAATGTTTTTTTGAATGAGTGAGTTGAGTTTTACGCCGCACTCAGCAATATTCCAGCTATATGGCGGCGGTCTGTAAATAATCGAGTCTGGACCAGACAATCCAGTGATCAACAGCATGAGCATCGATCTGCGCAACTGGGAACCGATGACATGTGTCAACCAAATCAGGGAGCCTGACCACCCGATCCCGTCAGTCGCCTCTTACGACAAGCATGGGTTACTGAAGACCAATATTCTAACCTGGACTAACGTTGCATAACCTGACCTGGTGTTTATGCTGATGGCGAGTTTTAACGCCACCTTAAACAATGTTTCAGTTGTTAACAGGATGTCAGCATGACAATGGAGGAATGCCCTAGGTGGTGAATGTGTATGGTGCTGGGATTCGAACCCGTGATCATAGTTTTCTGTTGCGACTGAGAGACGCAAGTCTGCACAACGAATTGCCCACTCATAAAATTGTGAAGTTGTCAGGGACCGGAATTAAATTGAACAGAAGTGCAAAGGATTTGCACCGACATTACCAATATACATGTATGAAATAATTTCCAAAGCAACGATGAAAGATTTGTATTAAGTTCTAGAAAAGCAGCGCCCATTCGCTGCTACTTAAAACCATTTGAAATAATAAAACACCACTGCAGTTTTCTTTGCACTATTTCTGCGCATGCTTCGACTCATTAACTTACTACACATGTGCACCATTAATCGAAAAGGGCAACAATGCGACTTGCTGATTTTGTCGCACTGTCGCGCATTTTAACGCTTTTCTTATACTTCTTAGATGCGGCCACAATGCGACAACGCGATAAATTGTGACCATGAAATTGTACCTATGTCGCCCTTTGGTGGAATAGAAAATATTATTCAAATCACGGCGATGCGATATAGCGACAATGCGACAAATGGCCAAATGTCGCGGTGTCGCATTGTCGCACTTTACTTAATGTTAACACTTTTTGCTTGTTTTTGTAAGGGCTAACACGCGACAATGGATTCATATGAGAGACTGTTGTTTCTGATACTGAAAATATTATAGTCAAAATGTTGAATCAGAGAGTGGTTTTAAACAGCATTTTAGTGCTATTAGGGCGTGTCAGCATCATGTTGACAGATATCTGCAAGGAGGGATATACACTGTTGACAAAAGTAGAAACATACTTAGAACAAATCAGGCATTCGAATCAACAAACACAGATTTCTGGCGCACAGCAAGACGCATTGTCACAGCTTGGGCGACCGGGGTAACTTTAAGGTAAGTTACTCTAAGAATTCCGAATAACTATGTCCTCTAGTAGTATACACAATGGGGCTACGGGACCAGGTACCCCTAATCCCTAGTCCCTAATCCCGTAGCCCCATTGTGTATACAACTACTGAGGTACAAAAAATCGGTCGAATAGTTTCTGAAATATTGACTTTTAAGTGAGCATGGGGTCGGTCGGGAAAAAGGCTCGGGTCGCCTCGGGGTTGGTTGCTCCTCCGAGTGCTGTGGGCGGACGAGTCGCAGTGCGTGTGCGTGTGTCTCTCTCGGCTTGGTGTACGGGTGGCTGGCTACATTAAGCAGAAAAATAGGCATGCAAGACTGATAAAAAATCATGACGAGAAACTATCATCACACGGTGGGTGATGTGTAAGGGACTGTGTCGTGAGGTACGATCATCAACTACTCTCTGACGAATGCTCTCGGCATTCTGTCTTTTAAGTAGTACAAGTTAATTTTGCCGTCTTTGATGTCGACAAGGTCTACGTTGTACGTTTTCATGGACCATATCGGATCGGTGGCGCGTTTTCTGCTGTCTCCCTCGTATTCTCCCGGCTGGTACAAGTATCTAACGCTGATCCGGTCCGGTAATATTTTCTCTGTTTTATCGCGACGTGCCGCCGCCGCTGGTGATGATTCGACTGATTTCATTTTGATGGCTTCTACGGGTCTTTTGCCCACGAGTCTGGTGACTTCGTTGTTGATGACATCCACCACTCGTGGCAAGCGTACAACCCATTCCGTGTTTCGGTTTCTGGGATCGATTAAATCCTGCTAGTATTGGTGCGAGAACAGGCGTTAAGCTAGGGTGCGATTGAATCTCTCAATGATGGCTTGGCTACGGTGAGCTCCCGCTATACCTCGTCACACCTGGACGTCGTGCTTGGCCAGCAGCTGCGACACGGCTCCCATGAACTCGGGTCCGGGATCGACTTGCAATACGGCAGGCCAGGTCAAGCAACTGCGTTTGTATATGCATTCAAAGGCTTTGGCGACTTCGTTCAAATGTTTGGTTGTCAACTGTTCGCCGGTCAGGGCGTACTTGTAGGTTTTGCGCCTCACCCTGTCGTAAGGGAGAAACAGGAGGTCGGCTTGGTGGACGCGATTCGGCGTTGAAATGTCGAAGTTTCTTCTCGGGATGTATCGAGACGCCAGCAAGGTAGACTTGCC